GTGTGTGTGTGTGTGTATATATATATATATATATATATATATATATATATATATATATATGGTGTAGAAAACTCATCAAGATCCTGTACAGGTAACTGAGTTGTTGATGACGTCAATCCTTGTAGGTTAAGCTGTTATTGCAGTAGACATGGTATCTTGGAAGTTTAAATTATTAATGTATAAACTAAAAAAATGTCATTTTTTCTTCCTCTAAGAAATGCTTTCTCTTGCTCAAGTCTTAGGACAATAGAAAATGCTAGCATAAAAAGAATGGGCAAAATTAATACATTTTGGGGCATGGAATGTTACCTCAGAGTTTGGTTTAATTTTCTTTGTGGAGGAATGAACAGGGTCTTTCCCCCTCTCCTCCCCTCCCCTCCCTTTAGAAATATGACTGACAGCTAATTAATTCTCTGCTTTCTTTTGCTTCCTGCAGGCTGGCACCGATGCGATTATATACGCTGTCCAAACGACATTTTGTTCTGGTCTTTGTAGTATTCTTTGTTTGTTTTGGTCTGACAGTCTTCATAGGAATAGCAGGTAAGGATGTTGTCTTTTTAAAAGATTACAGTTCTTGTAGGCTTTGTTGGTATTTACAGATGTATTTAAATGCTAATAAGCTTACAGCCCCTGAGATGTCTGAGGAAGCATTACTTTTGACAGGGAGGGGGAAGTGTTTCTTCCATCTTATTTTTATAGGAGTACTACCTACACAGATTTGGTATTTGCAACCACTTTGCAGGGGAGAGTCAGTAAAGTAAAACAAAACCAGCCTCACCGTAATGCAATTTTTCAGCAGACTGCTACATTAATTTTCTTCTATGCATTTCAATCTGTAAAATGGTGGTGCTGGATTTCCTGTGAGGAAATTGATAACTGTTTGGAAAGCTTTCTAAATGATTGGGTGATAAATGCCACAGAAATATAAAATATTTTAGTAATGTAAAAATGTGAACTTCTCTTGTCGAATATATATGAGCTTAGGTCTCTAGTTTCAAAGACCTTTGGGAAGCCAAGCACTAGTGCCTGGATACTTATCCTGGAGATCAGAGAGATTTGTGGAAGTCTGTTCGACAAAGATGCAGTGTGTCATTAGGCAGATGGAAAGCGTGGGAGCCTGTATTTCATGCCAGAGAGCTTTTTGAGGTCTAAAATGTACTTGAAAAAAGAAGTCAGCATGCTGTCACTGGAGTGCTAATAAGCTAATACTCTGCTGTCAGGATAGCTGATGTCGCACAGAAGTGACAGACAGGGAGAGGGGAAAGGAGAGACTCATTAAGCAACCTGCCCCCCATGTAAGAATTATTTAAGGTCGTTACCAGCTCCCCGAAGTTTACAGCTTATTTCCATGTCACGCTGTGCTCTCCTGTGCTGCTCTCTGACACCTCATTACCTGTCTGTTTCTACCTCTGCCCTGTCCTTCACTTCCTTTAGAATGAGACTGGCTGCCCAGGCCTGAGACTCATCCACTCCTGCCTGCCTTGGAAAGAAGGCAGGATTAATTGGAGGCAGCTGTTTGGGCTTTTTGTGCCCATCTGTGCCTTGTAGGCAGTACATTCTTCATAATAGCATTAAATAATAAAATTTGTCTGTGAAATAAAACCTTCTTTCCTGCTGTTTGATTTATTGTAGCAGCCTAAGGTCCAAACAGGCTTTCAGTTCATAAAGATTAACCACTGATACTCCTGTGACTTGCCTAAGGATGCTGAAGGGCATTATTTGGCCACTAAAATACCATATAAATACATTTACGAAAATGCGTTTCATATGGATGATAAAGGAAAAAAACAAACCTGGAATTGCTTAATTTAGTGTCATTTGGCTTAAAAAGGGAATCATATTTATAGTTGTGTATTTATACTGCCCAGTTGCAAGAAATGCAAGTTTTACATAAGACTAGGCTAAAGGCAGTGCTCCTGAAAGAGAAAACTGAGCATTTCATTCTCTATTGGTAGCAGAACCTGAAAGAGAGCTGTGTTGGAGTGTTGTATTGCATCTGCATGCAGAGTGGTCTGGTGATGTGGTTGCCTTTGGTCCAGGGCGCTTGGCTGCTGTAAGCAACAACGCTTGGTCATCTGTACCCTGCTGGGGTCCCAGGGCTCACCTGTGATCCCCTTCCCGAACGAGCATGGCTGTGGAATTCTTGTCTTTGTAGGATTGGTTTGATGGATAGTTTTGTGACAAAGTGTGAACACAGTTCATTATTACAACTTAATTATTTTTAAAAGAATGCTGTTTACCTTGGGAGGAGACCCACTTAACTGTGATGTTTTTCTTGTTGACAGCTCCTTGCTTCCTGTGAATAGAGGGAGGGGCCCTAACAATAGAGTCCTCCCTCTTTAAAGGGTGCGATCTGAGCAAAACTCAACAAACCCACTAAGTAAATGAAAAAGTGGGAGATACATTCATATTTTCTGTGCTACTTGAATAGCTATTGTCCATACTCAACATCTCTATCTGTGGTTTGGGAAGCCTAGCAGAAGTCTTGCTTCTCATATGAGAAAACAAGACAGTTTAATCTGAAGTGGCTGTTGCTCTTCAGTTCTTGTAACCCAAGATGCAGGCTTGGGGTTTCTTTCCTAAATTACTTTCCCTTTTCCCAGTGTGTCTTCGGGGTGAGACAAATGCAAGGAAAATTCAAAGTGTAGAGCTCATTTTCTGTACCTGTGCAGTTTTCCTGTTCACCACGCCAGGGTGATTCTTTGCTTTCAGATGTGATTCTGTTAACTGAGCAAGACTAAAAGAAAAACAATAACCGTGTAATCTAATGACAATTTTTAAAAAATATGACCACAGCATTGTTTTTGTCAGTTGCTTTAAAAAGCTTTAATATATTTCTTGCTATAGGAGTAGCAGTTACAGCAGCAGAATCTCATTATTTTTTTGGTTGCTTCTCTTAAAAACTGGGGCTATGATCCCTGTGTCCCAATATTGGTTCATATCTTCTGGTAAAAGAAAAACCTTTTTAAAAAGGCTCATTCTGTTGCTAAGAGTTAATTACTGAAATATGATGACTTATCAACTGTGAGCACTTACTGACATTGAATTATGCTTTTCAAAACAAAAATGCTTTCCAAAAATCTGCCCTGTTTATATGTACTTCAGAACTGAAAAGTTCGGTGATGCAGAACTGACTTTATAAGGGGGGGCTGTTAGTGAAGTTGAACTGTAATTCTAATATGAGGCTTTGAGTGTGATGGGTGAAATTCTTAATTTTTCTGTTTAAAGTCTCTAAGATAGTTAATATTGTATTTAGAGTGGTTGTAGAAGCCCAAGCAATGCTGCATGTTTAGAGCTGTCATGACAACTAACCTAAAATACTTCTTGCACAGAATGATCCCATGCTGCTCATTTATAAATTTCCTTCTTTTCCATTGTTTCTCTGTACTAACTTTGAAGTCCATGGTCTTTGTGAAAATTTTTTTTAGTGTGAAATTTGTGGCTGAAACAGCATATTTTGAGGATTAATAAATTATATTAAATTGCCAGACCAAATACATAAGGGGAGAGACCATTTGGACAGAGAAATCTCACTGTGACTGGGAAGCTTCTAGAGTGACCCAAATACACACATACATGTCCTGCCTGTGTCCCTACCTGCTATACATCTCCTCTGTGTTTATTCATACCCCTGTATGTAGATACAGACCTTTTCCTACTCTTTGCTTTCATTTTTCTGGTTTAGTCCTTTTGTGTATGTACATACACACATTCATTCCTCTTCTCCCCAGTACCATGTGTTCTTACATACCTAATGCGGCTAAGGTGAAACTGTATTGCTGTCTACAGGATATACAAAAGATGGAGCTGGACTCTTCTCTGAGACAAGCTGGAACACAAGAAATTCCAGTTATATATTAGGAAAATTTTCCTACCATAAGGGTGGTTAAATATTGAAACAGGCTGCTCATGGAGGTTGTGGGAGCCTCTGTCCTTAGGGATGTTCAAGACTTGACTGGACATGGCCCTGAGCAACCTGGTCTAATTAAATGAGAGGGTGAACTAGATGGCCTCTGGAAGTCTCCTCTAACCTAAATTATGATTTTATTGCTTCACATTTACTGCATACAGAACTAGAGGTAGAGCATGAGTGGGTGGATGCAGTTGATCAGTACGTGTTAAGTGTGTATGTCTGTAACCAGAATGATTGGAGGAATGGTGACATAAAAAGTCTGATAGCGAGCTCAGAGTCTCCCACTACAGTTGGACATGAAACTCCATTGATTCAATGGATTGTCTGTTTTAGGATAAATTGTTTATAGAACTTTTATGCAGTTATATTTATTTATTTGATGGTACATGTAATATATTATCACCCCAGATTTCTGTAGAAAAGGAGAGGCCCAATCTGAGTAGACTGAGAACTGCTCCTAAACAAACATATGGGTATCTTGGCTTGAACAGACCAATATGTGACAAAAATCCAGCACTAGCCAGAAAGTGCTGTTATTGTGATTGTACATGCAAGTACACTACACGTACAGAAAAAGGCATCAGCATCGTGAACTCCAATACAATGGGATGTGTTTGCCCTGGTACCTGAGCGTTGAGTGCAATGCATTATGAACGCTATACTCTCTGTAAATCAGCTAATGGTAGCAGTTTGGCTATAGAAACTTTATAGTGCAATTAAATATGCTGGGTTTTCATGTGGTTTTTGCAGCCGTTGTTGAGCTTCAAGTTGCTGTTAACAACAGTGTCGTGGGTGCTTAGCTAGCTTTTCCTGTAGCTGGGTTACTTTCATGGCTGCAGTCTACTGCTTAGCTTGGGAAAAGTACTGTGTGGTTTGTAGTAGTAGTTTAGAGTACACATGTAGGGCTTCTGCCATGGAGTTCTTGTTTTATAATTTACTTCCTATTTAATCATGCCTAGGAATATTGTGGCAGAGGAGTTTAAAGGAACATTCAGGCCAAGTTTATTAATGATATTGAAACATCTAAGTGATTTACCCTTCAGATGAAACATCTGAAAAGGGGGATACTATTTACCTGCTTTGCAGGGAGGTATTTTATATTTACATTGTTACTTATCAGTAATACGCATGCTTCAATATTGTTCTCTTTTCTTCCTTCTTATATAATTTATAGGTCCTAATGTAATTGAAACTTCTGTAGCAAGAACTGATTTAAATAACAGCCTAAAGGTAAGAGTTAATAAATACTATTGGATTACATGAATTACTTTATTTGATGTCAGTAATGTTAAACAATCCCCTCCTTCCCCCCAACTATTTTAAGTCTTTAAGTTTTTACTGGAAAACTTCTTGGCCACATGGTGCTTTCCAGTTTGAAATTGAACGTGCAATATTGTACTACCACTATGTTATTTCCTGAGTGGCCCAGCAGCAATTTCTAGTCTCTTACTTTTGTGAGCAGGTAAGGTAGAGAATTCTTTGATGTGTCTGCACAGTAGTTTCTGATAAATTAACACCTGAGCATTGATAGGATTCCCTGGTGAGTTCATGTTGGAGATTCTTGTAAGGGGTCCAGAAATAGAAACTGAAAACTTAAACTGAAAACCAGTGCTCTCAGTGGCAACTAATGGTATCACTCTTGTAATCTTCCTGTCAACTGGGAAGGAATATTTCTTTTTCTTGTTAATTGTTCACTGTCACCTGACCAAGACATGGGATCTGGCTTCCTAACATGAACCTTCACATTTGTTTTCTTGAAAGCTGTCATATTTTGATTCTCAGTTCTTGCATTTTTATTTCTGTCTAGCTCTTTGTTGTCAACCCAATATCTAAAGTAATTTTTTTGAAAGTGCTAAAAAGGTTTTGTTGATTTGATTTTTTTTTTCCAAGCAAATTTTCTTTAAATACACTGGAATATTTATCTTTTTTTGGTCTGTTAAGTCACCTATATATATTTGGATTGGTACTGTATTGTGGGTGGGTTTTAAAAAAGCATATTTTTATATCAAATAAGAGAAGTCTTTCCTGCATGTGGGTTTTATCTGTTAATGATATCTTCCATGCTTTTGAGATGAATGTGGGATTTTTAGAAAGCCTAGTGGAAAATACTTGTGTTCATAATTATAGTTGAACAGGTTTAAAACTGTGTAGTAGTAGATGAGGGGTCACAAATCTGACTTCTGATGTTAAGTGCGAGAAATTACTTTATTTGCAGACTGGGTCTCAGGATTTTGTTTTTCATATCTGAACTTTTTTGTTTTATTGCTGCTGCTTTTATGTGCTTTAACTAGTTGTACCTTTCCTTACTTCAGTGCTGTGCAAAATATGTGGGCTGTTTAAGCTGCTTCTCTGGAAGGCTTATATTTGAGCCACTTATCCTACTGTCCACATATTAAATCTCTTCCCCAAAATATTGTCACAGATATAATTAACATGCTTTTCATCATTATAACTGCAGATATGTCACGTAATGGAATAATGGTTGGTGCTAACCTTGTGGGTTTTTTACAGCTGAAGCCATTTAATTTAAGTTCGCCACCACTGTCTACTTACAATCAACAGCTGTGGCTGACCTGCGTAGTTGAGTTGGATCAGCACGATGGTGAGAATCTTACCTAATTCTCAGGAAACAGCTGTAGCAACCTTTATATTGTATCTTTGTATTTTGTCTGTCACATTTGTGATCCTATTGCTTTCTGGCTATGGTTGGTGGGTTTTTCCTCTGATACATTTTCTCCCCCTCCACCCCCTGCCCCCAGTGAAGACATGGACAGCACTGATCTTGAGAACTGGAAACAACAGGTATATGGGATAAGTGATTTGTTATTTCTGTGAAAGCAGTGGTATCTAGACAATCTGTGTCTCTCTTCCTTAATTTTTGGGGGGAATTAGATGTGTAGATTGTAAGGATATTCATTTTTCAATAAAAATTCCCTGTAAACACTCTTATTAGTAACTTGATCTGTCAAGATTCAGTACAGGGCATTTGGGACTTACTGCCCAAGTATATAAATAAAAAGGTTGTGATTTTTTTTTTTTATTTATATATGTTGGACCTCTACTCCAGTAAAGTATAACTGAATAACTGAGTAATCATAGGATATTATATGTGTTTTAAACTATATTTGAGACTCTATTTGAGATTTCATTTTTGTGTTGTAGCAATAGCTTAACGTTTTCTCTTTTAATTACAGTATCCCTCAAAAAGAATGTTACGATGACAGTCAAAGTACTTGGGGTGGTGAAGGATGGAAGCACACCATATGTTAATAATCAAGTTCACAATCGGACAAGATTACTCAGTTGTGCACAAGTATGTGCTTACTTAAACAAAACTGATGCAGTACATCTCCTTTAAATCTATTTGCGTGCATTGCATGTTACCTTATGTTGCAAATGAGAAGAATATGTCTGTTAATCACATCTCGGGAAAGAATCCAGAATACAGTTTTGTTTATAATTGCAGTCTAGCTAGCAATGCTGACCGAGATACCTACCTATCTGCGTTTTTCTGTTTACTTCTATGACTTGTGTCTACCTCTTAAAGACCCCTCTTTCTTGTTAGAGCAGCTTTCTGTCAGCAAAGCAATGTGTCCTGCTTAGTCATCTGAACAAATTTAGCAGTACTGAAGAAAGGGATATTGAGGTAGAAGATTGGATATAGGGCTCCAGAGGAGAGAAAAATTCTCCTCCAACACCTAGCAGGGAGTCTGGTTGAAATCAGCTGGCATCTGTGTTCTGAAAAAGCCAAGTTTCTTGCCACCTGTGAAGAAACGTTTAAGGCTTGGAGATTCTAGTATAATTTTCACTGAAATTTTTAAGCTTAAGGACATCCAAAACAGCTTCTCCAAATGCAAGTCCTTTAGGGAAGGGCATAGCTGAAGTTTTTTTGTGATAAGCATATAGAGTAAATAAGATGGTTTTTTTATATATATAAATGCATCTATATGAAATCTTTAGGAATTAATGAACAGTGTTCCGTTACCTTTAATTACACACAGGCAAGAGAGCAATATGCTTGAGTTTCTTTTTCATCCTGTTAACGTTTAGAAATGAATTAGTACAAGATAACCCCATCTCACAATCCGATGACCTAAAGCTTGACTGACAGAGTCACTCAGATCCTTCCTGGTGCTGCAAGCAGTTGCTTTCACCAGTTTAAGTGAAAAACTAGCCTTGTTTTTTGGCTCAACCTTTGATCCTGCTGACTGACTTTACCGATTTCTGCTATCTTTCAAGAAATGCTTTATCTGTGGGTCTTGTTTGAGCTTTATTCTGACTGATCAAGAATAAATATCAATATATGGCCATTAGAAACAAGTTCTCCAACCTATACTAAGTGCATATTTTGGAATAAATTGAAGGCTTTTACATACTATTCACTGTATGTGTTCACAGAAATGCAGTGAAATCATTGTTGCTCACCTTGGCTACCTGAACTATACTCAGTACAACGTATTTGTTAGCTTTGAAGATTTAAATAAGTTGACTTACACCATCCAGAATATTACTTTCACAGTAAGTATAAAATTTTATGCTAGCAAAATAAATCTCTTTTAATTATTAATGCCGTATAAGTCTGCTTTACCTCTAATAAAAAGTTATCTTATTTTTGAAGATAAACATACATAGGTATGATTAATTAATAATTTAATTTGCTAAACTTTAATTACTAATGCTGTAGAAGTCTGCTTTAACTTTAATAAAAAGTTATTTTTGAAGATAAATATGTATGATTCATTTTTCTGTCACTGCTAATGTCAGAACTGTTATAACATTTGCAATTAATAAGGGTCTAGGCCAATTTTTTTAACTCTATAAGGAAAGATTTTTCTTTTAGAACTGCTAATGCTGTTTTCTGGAACAGATAAATTTAGTCTAATTCCTGGGAGATATTTTTAACAGTAGGCAAGCTAGACTAGAACATCCAGTTTTCTGCCTTTGCTTATAGAGATGTTGCCTCTCTAAAGCATGGTATCTTTTTCAGCCTTTCCAGTAGGTGTATCTGAATTAGCAAGATTTTTCCAGACTTCACAAATGCGTGGGCTAGAAAGATTTAACAAACTCCAAGAAAAATGAAGAAATTTTTTTACTGTGCTTATCAGGAAGGGAAAAAATGTTTATTCAGCTAAAATAAGCAGGCTAATAAAATAATTCACTAAAATAACCCCTAGTGAAATGACTAGCTCCGTTTGTAGTGCTAAATATTGCTTATAAAACAGTTACATCATCTGTGTGTGCTGATTGGCTCCAGAAAGAAATTTAGAAACATTTTTGCATTGGAAGGAAATGGAACTAAGCCAAATTTATAATGCAGGTTATTATGGTATATTCTACCTGTATGCAACTTTCGGTATATCAGAGCAGGTAGCAAGCAAAAATCTTACCGTAAAGCAGAAGTGGTTTTTATATACTAAATTAACTTTCTGAATATTAATATTTCTAATCTTCTAGTGCATAAAGCATATGATCAAAAATGAGCTTTAAGGGGAAAAAAAAACCCCAAACTCACAAACCCTTTGCTCAGTTCCAGATTTCAAACATGACAAAGTGTTGGAGCATTTATAGTTGTACAGTTTATTATCTTGCTTTGCAGGCTGCCTTTAAGACAGACCTGTGCACAAACCCCAAAAATCCTGAACCTAAAGCCCTGCTTTCCCACAGCAACTAAAATTGTCAATTTATTTCATTATTACAGTGGTTTATGGTGATCCCAGTTAAAATCACAGATTGCCTTTTGTATAATGGGATTCTTTACATATAATTTTAATTGTGCATTTACAGTTTAAAAATATAAGACAGAGTTTGACATACTTTATACATTGAAATGTAAAGCTTCTTGTTCAGATGGGCAGAGCATACATTTCAAAAGTGGCTTCAAAAGAGAAGCATGCCAGGTAGGAGAGAAATTGTCAACAGAGCAGAGTTTCTACAAACTGGCATGTTATAATTAGAGGAAAAGGAGCTTTTCCTCCTTAAGCTGTGAAAAAAGTTCTTTATTTCTGGTTAGCCCTTTTATTCTTCCCTTACATGATTTTCTTTTTCCCTCTTCTGAAATAAGAGAATAAGCTTTAAGAAAACAAAACCATTACAGGAAGCATGCCTGTACCTTATCAGCCTCTTTGTAATCAATTTATATATCTGACCTTGGTAATAAAGAAGAACATACTGGATTTACTCCATTACTGGCATACAAACTTTGAAAGAAAGTGCAATTGAAATTAATGAAAGATACCCTTTTTTTCCTGAGAATTGCTTTAACATACGACACCTCACTGAGTATGTTACAAGGTGGCAGGATAAAAGAGAGAAGCAAGGATGTTAGGCTGCTTTGGTTATCTTTTCATCAGATAATCTTATAGCTGTGAATTTATCTTTGTCTTTCCATGGTGACATGGTGGAATTTGGTTATACCTTTAAATTTTGAAAAGCAAGAGAATCTTGTATCTTCAGAAAATCAGTATCTTCAGAAAGTGAGAATCAGTATCTTCAGAAAGTGTTAATTATTGATGTCATCTGTACCCTGTCAAAACGTTGTTTGTTGGGCTACTTCTGTTTTCTTGTAGTGGAAGACCTACAATCCAACTTTTTCACAAGTGGAAATATGGTTCCGATTTGTCTTTGTAGTTCTTACTTTTATGGTCACGGTAAGATTTTGTTTCTGTTTTCCTGGAGTATATTGTGTACACAGCTGATAACACTGCTCTGTAGTACCATTTAGTAACTTAACCCCAGGCAGCAGAGCTGAGATATCACTGAATGGGTTTAAAAATTGTTTCTAAAATACTTATGCAGTTGCTGCTTTTATGTTTTTACAAGTAGTATTGAAGGGACATTAAGAAAATAGGATAAATGGAAAAACTTGTTTTCCTCAACTCTAATTTTTAATTGAACAGAAAGAATTTTGCTTAAGCAAAGGAAATTGTGATTAGATGCTAGAAAAAATATTTTTGCAGTGCACGTAGGCTCAGACATTGAAATAGGATACCCAGAGTGTGGGCGCTCTGTCTCTGAAAATGAGCAAAACTCGGCTGAATATGACTTTCATCTAACTTTAAAGTTGTCACTGCCCTGAGCATAAGGATGTGACAGATACCTCCAGAGGTCCCTCACAACCTAAATTATGCAGTGATTTAGATTATGTCTCCCCTCCCACCTGGTTTGGCCCCTGGAAAGAAGGTATTTGGAAAAAAAAACCAAAAAAAACCAACATAAAATCTAAAATGCAGAATTTTCGAATAAGGACACTAAAGCACTGAACACTTGCACAGCATTTTTCTCATATAGGTGATGTCACTTAGCAGGTAACTGTGAATGTGATATAGAATACTTTTTTTTTTTAAGTGAGTTTAAGTGGAAGCTGTTGGTAATGTGTGACCAGTAATTAGGCAACGTTTTTTCATGTGTTGTTGATTTGCATGTTACTTGCTGGTTTTCTTCCCTGTTTGGTTGAGAGAGGAAGTAATTTGCATTGGGGTAAGGCAGCAAACTTGAAGCAGAAGTAGAAGCTAGGAGATGTGGTTCCTGTTACAGTGTTCTCAGTAGCAAAGACCTCGTGAAATAGCCTTTGCAATGTGCGGTGTTATCTCTTTACTCTGGTGAAACCATTAAGGCTGTATTCCTTCCTTACAAATTGTTGGTTTTGTTGTTGTTTTATAGTGTCTGTTTGCACATTCCCTTCGGAAATTCTCCATGAGAGACTGGGGTATTGAACAGAAATGGATGTCCATTCTCCTTCCCCTCCTGCTACTTTACAATGGTATTTACATCCTGGAATTTTTAGAAAAGCTCCTTTCTTAAAAAAAACCAAAAAACAAAAAAAGAGCATGAAAGAGAGATAGAGAAGTCAAAGTGGAATTTGGCCTTGAACTTACAAGCAGCTCTTTATAAGGTTTCAGAAAACAAATTAAAAAAAAACCCAACTCTTTTAAAGTGTATCAAGTTCCAGGGCATAATGAGTAAGTGGATTTCATTCTTTTCAGTCATGTGAATTGCAGCTCTATTTGTTTAAAGCTCTGACTGGAATAGGTGGCTGCAACCATACTGAATCTGTCATAGAGTGACATGTAAATGTAATTCCTGTGTTTGCCTGCTAAGTCTTACTTCTGCATTTTTCAGATACTCCCACTTTAGTTACAAGTGGACACTACTTTTAGTCTGGTAAACCACATTGTTCTAGCACACTCTAGCAGTACCAAAATAATATTTGCCTTTCAGTTATTCTATGACAATTTTTTAGGTCATCACCAAGAACAGTGGTTTAGTAGAAAGTCTAATAAAACATGAAATCTTCTAGAAATGTTGGCAACCATTTCAGATGATTTGTACAACACAGAGGATTGCTGCTGGAGGCACCATTTTCTTTGTAAAATACAGCAAACTTCATTTACTGGTGTAATTTGAAAAATCTTGGGGTTTCTATTCCTCTGAATATACATTCTGTTTTACTTTTCATAATGGGAAAGCGTGCTTTTTCCCCTCTGTTTAACTTTTTTTTTTTCTTGTTTTATTACAGATCCATTTTTCCCCCTTTCTTTTCTGGTGAACAGCTGGTTTCCTGGAATGCTGGATGATCTATTCCAGTCACTGTTTCTGTGTGCATTGTTGTTGTTCTGGCTTTGCGTCTATCATGGTATAAGAGTACAGGTAAGGGTGCAATATTATCTACAACTTATTGAGAAAGCAGTACTTGTTTTTTCAATTCTCTCAAAAGGTGACAAAAATGAAACCAAATTTCTATAAAAAGAGACATTTATTTTATTCCTGAAGTACAGTGTGACACATGAAGCTTTGGGGTTAAAATGATTTGTGAAGTAGCTTGTTTTGATGCTACTGTGCCTATATGAGATAGACAGGACAGTCCACTCTGAACTATTGCAAGCCACTCTTCAGATCTATGATGCAATTATGCTTTGTTCTTGCTTGAAGGGTCTTCCTGTTGTATATGGTGGTTGATTGTTTTTTAAACCACTTTAAAATAGTGCATAAGATAAATATGAATTCTGGAGCATATTTCTGTATTTGCAATATCAGTGAAATATGTGGGACCTTATAAATAGGATGCTCCAAATCTATGGCATCTTATTAACACAAATGATGATGCAATTTTATGTCTTCTGTAATCACCTGTGCAGGTTAAAAATATGGCAAGTCTCTTAATCTAGTTCATGTTGAATGAAACAGAGATGATAGTTGTTTTATTCTGTCAAGAATGAATGAAATCTCAAATGTGGGTTCACTCCTTCACCCTACTGTTGTTTTCTCAACAGGGAGAAAGGAAGTGCTTAACTTTCTATCTGCCCAAATTCTTTATTGTTGGACTACTGTGGTTGGCCTCTGTTACACTGGGAATATGGCAAACGTAAGTAATTTAATATTTAGTGCAAAAGTAATGAGCTGAGAGTGTTAAAAGAATGAGAAGATGGTTTATAATTAGTGGAAACTGTTTCTTAATGCTCTGATTCTTATATAGGAATGGAGATCAAATTCTTACATCTTTCTGTTTTGCAAATTGTGACTGATTTGAAAACAGAATTCCCCATGGATGATCTAGTAGTATGTAATTTTATAAATCAGAGTGAGATCTAGAAATGACTATTTTGTCAGTATGTTATGGCTCCTTACAATACTCCCTCTAGCACTAAGTCCCAATTATCTTTTAGTATTTGAAGCAACAGTTTCTCTGTAGTTAACTATTACACAGCTTGACCCAAGTTTCTCAACTAGTAAACCTGCACAACTGGTATTGATGCTGCTTACTCAAGTTACGCTCTCTCTCCTCAAAACTCAGTTCTTTATTTTGCTTGTTTCTTTTTTTCCAACTTGTCGTGTTAACATAAAGGTGTCACTATTCCCCACACAGACAACTTTCTCGGTTTGGTACATCTGTGGTTTCTAAACTGTTTTAGTCTCAAGCGTTTGCCTCTTATTTGCCTTCTCAGAAGGAAGATACCTTCTGGCCTTCTCCATGCCATTGTACATTGTTGAAAGCAGTGCAGTTGCAGGAAATGCTCATGCTAGTGCCTTATAAGAAGAATGGCTATGAGGCAAGGGCTTACTTATATCACAGTCACTTCTTAAGTATAATTCTTATCACCAAGGGTAAAATTTAAACACTAAATCCTGAAAGCTTATAGGAATTTAGATGATTATACATTTTCTAAAAAATAAGTGGGGAGATTAGACATGCTGACAACTGAAATCCTCCTATTCCTTCAAAATTGGGTTTGGGGTGAAGGAGGATGTTATGTACTATACATTGTCATGACTCCACTGGAGTCAATGGCATTACCCCAGTTTATATAGCCAAAATCTTTAGTTATAAACTCTGTGTAGTAACTTTAAATCTTTTCTTTGTTAATGTGTTTCTTGATCAGTACAGCTTTTTGACCTTGTCTTTTGTAACAATCTAAGTACCACTTTTTCCTTTTGAATCTTTTCTAGTGTTAATGAAGTACATGATCCTACATATCAATACAGGGTTGACACAGGTAATTTCCAGGTAAGTCAGAAATGTTTTCTTGCTATTAAATTGTCAGATGGAGTTAGGCAATACAAGGAGGTGGGGTTTTTCTATTAAGATCTCTAACACAATTTAGGCAATAGCAAATGCTGGTCAGATGGTCTTATTCTACTAGGGTGCTTTTAATTTTGCTTTAAATCATGCACAGGCCATACTGAGCTCCATCCCAATGAGAAAATTGTCTTGCAAATCTGGAGACTCAACACCACAGGTTTACACATGGACTCATGACTGTTGGGATAGAAAGAAAATTTGTTAAGGATCTTATGAAGTCAGCTTTGTATGTCTTTACTCCTGCCAAGATCCTCTGTCTTAGTTAATTTCAGGCTTTCTTGTAAAGGAAGATCTGGTTTGTATGGGTCCTTGTATTGTCCTCAGGAGCTGTGTTTTTAGAAAATCATTGAGATTCAGCTCACTGTGAACAAAATTATGACTTCTATTAAACATCCTTTCTTTACATTCCTGAAAACCCTACCTTGATGTATAGCCATTGTTGGTTTGTACTTCCTTTCATGAGCCTACTTTCCCTGAATAAATGGACCGCTTCATGTTGTGCTTTGGGTAATAATTATTTATATTGACAGAAGAAGGAATAGATCACATCTTGTTAAATAATAAAAACTAACACTCTTCTCTTAGGGAATGAAAATCTTCTTCCTTGTGGTGGCAACCACATACATTCTCTACCTTTTGTTCCTGATAGTGAGGGCATGTTCAGAACTTCGTAACATGCCTTATGTTGGTAAGGAATATTTCTTTTGATTCTTCCCCAGACACGCTTGCTTCTCCTAGATATAGGTGTAAATTTGCTAATAACGACTTTTCTCTATCTTTTCCAGATCTCAGGTTAAAGTTCTTGACTGCATTAACCTTTGTAGTGCTTGTCATTAGGTAAGGCCTTTCAAAGTACGTTTGTCAGTACCGTAATTTTTACAACCTTTTTCTCAGGGCTTTTAATACATTTTGTTGATAATAAAATTGTCAAACTGAGGAATGCCTTTTGATATGATTGTAATGGCAAGCATTTCTCTTTTTTTTAACCTTTCTTGAAGCTTTTAGAGCTAACTTACACAAAGATTTAGAGGTTCACTTAGCAGAGATGTTTTCTGTACTGCTGAGTGGTCTGCAGTGCACCGTTCACCTCTTTTGGAGCTTGTAAGCCTTACTTAGTCAAAACAGAAGTTTTGAACTAGTTTCTTAGATTATTATTATTATTAATATCTGTCTTCTTCACTTCAAGCAGTTATTTCAGATTACTTTGAGTCTTGAATTGTCTGTAGTGGATGAAATCTGAGTGAAGTAGACCATGGTTCAGGGTTTTTTTCTGCTTTATTCAGTTGATTGCTGACTTTAATCACAAAAGAATCATTATCAATTTAGAACGATGAAATCAGATATGTCTTAAAATAAATGGTCAGCATTAATTAACATAATTATTTTCTCATGTGCTCTTTTCTCAAGCTGTCATTTCAGTTTTGTGGCTTAAAGACTCAAGACACCAATATGCTTTCATTTTTTTCTACAGCATTGTTATACTCTACCTACGCTTTGGAGCACAAGTTCTCCAGGACAACTTTGTTGCTGAGCTGTCGACTCATTATCAGAATTATATCCTTGCGTTGTGATACTGCTCAAGTAGGAATGTTAATCTGTTTTCATGCAGAAGGCACTTAAAAATTATGTACCTAAGGACTGAGACCTTTGACTTCTAGGTGGGATTTTGAAGTTTAGTCCATTTTGATTGAGATTTTATGTCAGCATTTTGTAGTCACTCTTTGTAAACATAATGAGCTGAGACAGTTTCAGTCTAATTTGTTTACATCACATAAATCACAACTGCATTTGATACTTTTCAAAAGGAATGAAGGCCTAGATATGCATGCATTCAAGTCATTTTAACAAGTTATTGTGACAAATTTGGTTGTATTTGCTGCATGAATTCAGTTTACTGTTTACCTGTCAGTTGGCATGGGGCATACCAAAATATTTGAGAAATTAATAGTTTAGAAGTCACTGAAAATGCATTTGTGTATTGGCCCAAGTCTAGATGTGGAAGAGGTCATAGCAGCGAATTTATGTGACTTGAGAGAGACTATTTCTGATGTCTGTTGGCAACAGGATTGCAAACTGTATTTCTGGACCTGAATCATGAGATTCTAGTTCATTTGACTTTTTGAAAGTGCCTGTGTGACTGCAATTGCTCTGATTACTGATGTGTTGGGAGCTAGTAGAAAACAGCATGTAAAGCCTTTAGTGTTTTCCCAAAACGATGGGAAGAAGCCATCTTCAGAGTTCTATCTCCAGATAGTCCTTTATCCTTCCTTCATAATTGCTGTGCCAAGCAAGACCTTTTTCAAAAATAAACAAAACAACCCCACCTGAACACTCCCCTTACTCAGCTTGCTTTTAGCACTGAAGGCAGAACTATGCAATTTACCATGCGCTCCACCACTCAAGAGTAGACCTTATTTCAGCAAGTGTTACTTATGTTAAAGCTTTGTCTTCAGTGGAGCTTTACCTTAAAACAGCTTGAGTACATGTCACTGAATTTAAAACATGCAGTTTTGCTTATTCATTCATGCTCTCAAACTTTAGGAAGGTAAACATTCTTTCCATTGAAGCAGCTTATCTGTGGTTTGGATCTTGTTTCCAAAGTTAATATGTATGGAGCTGTACTGAGAAATATCCTTGACACTTAATACCAGCGGAATTCTTATCATTTTATGGTTTATTGAACTTTTATCTCTACACTTTAGCCTTCGTGTATTCCCCCTCAAAGAATGCACTATATGGTAAGTGTAAGCAATTGTCCGGCAAACTTAGATGACAATAGCTGGCACATTAGCAGATATTGTGTAACATCTGTATATCTTGGTTTTCTTGTTGCTGTTTCAATTCACTTTGAGTTAACGTAAGCAGAAGCTGCACTGTTCCTGAGCAAATTAGTATTGGAAATATGAAGAAACACATAAAATGTACACAACTCATTAGTTGGACTCGAATTCTTATGAACTTAGATCAAGCTGATAAGTCAATATGATGTTTGCAGATAATGCACTAACTTTTGCACTGACTCACAGACAGTCCTTAAGAAGCAAGAACACTTCATTTGTACTTTGTTCTAACAAAGGTTAATATATTGTCATGCTGGCAAACTGGACTCTGGAATAGGTACCATGCTGTTGAAAAAGTAGGAGTGCAGCTGATCTCTAACGTGGGAGGGATTTTGGGGAACTTGCTATGGGGAGAGGGTGGCACAGGGGCCATGTAAAGGACCGAATCAGTGGCACTTCTGGTTTTGCATTCTTACGTAGAGGATGTAATCTGACTCACATGATTATAAAGTGTTAGCTCTCTCTCTTAACAGATAAAGATCTGTAAAATCAGTATTTGTACTGAGTGCATTCTCTGCTTTAAGCATTCAGTTTAAAATACAGAACTGTAGGACAGCCCAGGTTGGAAGGGACCTGGAAAGATCATCTGGTCCAACCCTTGAGGGAAAAGGGAGCCTACATGAGATTATCTAGCACCCTGTTCAGACACATCTTGCATGCTGAGAGGTACACAGGGGGAAGGCTCTAAACAGTGGAGCTGGTCCCTTCTCTAAACTAATTAGAGTTGAGAGGGATGGAACTGTTACAGAAAAACGCTATTTTGCCATTAAGAAAGATGAGGAATGGCTGGGTGAGGATAAAGTTAAAAACTTGCTGTTGAGTTGCAAGAAAAATTAGGTTATAGAAGGCAGAAAGTAAAAAGCTGCCAGGAAAAATATGTTTATGGCAAATTGCTGGACTGAATTTTACTTGTGTATAATTATGAACTGCAGCTAAGCAGCACAGATCATGCAAGAAATGAAGGCCTTAAAACAAGGTAGAGGGAATTGTCATAAATAGCCCATGAAAAGTATGTGTTTCCTTTCATCTCTCCATAAAGGTACAAGTCCTTCCTTCACCTGTTTCAAGGATGAAAAATAACTGCATACAAGAGATTACAACTTTGTTCTACTATATTTGTATCTTAGAAATAACCAAGAAGTTAAAGAAGGCTGTGCTTTTTAAATACATATGAACATTTGAATAATGATTAAGAATAATGAGGTCTGACAATTACTCTTAGTGCAAGTTGAAATAATATGACATAGGAAACTGCAGAAGGGAGGAAATCCACTTAGACAACAAGGAGAATATCTGTCTGAAAATGAGGTATCTAGTTATTTCATCTCCTTAACACTTACGAATAACATGATGTTGTGGCTGAAGGGTGAAGAATTTAGAGAGATTTCCTGTTTGGATATAGTTTCGTGACTGCCTTGGAAGTTGTCGAGTCTTCTGCAGTGTTGAGTTAGAAGTCCAGCCTCATTTCTGTATTTAATGTGATAAATTAACCCTTATTTGTGTTTTCCAGAATCACAGTTGAAAGACAATCCTGCTTTTTCTATGCTGAATGATTCAGATGATGATGTGATTTATGGGTAAGATTATAAAATAGCTATGGAGAGTTACTTTTGGTGTGTCTTTTGTAATGTTTTTTCTGTATTCATTAAATAAATTATTTGTAAGTTCTTAATGAAAGTATTCTGCCTAAAGAACAGAAACATAGCCTTATGCTGAAACTGAAATGCAATGAGAATATATGTTATTTTGTTTTTCCTTTTTTTGGTTTCTAAAAGGGATTGCCATGACACTGATACAGACAGGTAAGAAAGTATTAGGATGCTGGTAGGTCATGGAGTGAAAGCAGCAAGAACTGTGAAAGGAAAGGACTTCCTTTTAAACTAGGAAGGATTTCAGGAGTCGAGTTAGCAAAGAGGTAGCTCATATGTAAATGCTTCAGGGAAGAATGGCTCTTCTTAAGTGTCCATCACTTACTGAAATAATAATTAAATCTAGCAAAACTTCCTAGACATAAGAATTACAGCAGTGTTTAAAACATACCCTGATAAGATGTCTCTGTGCTAGACACTGAAAATTCATTATCTACTCTTGTTTTCACCACTTCACACTTCAGTGTCTGGAACAGTGAGGATGGGATTAATACTGCAGTAACCTGACCAGATTTGTGCTGGACTAGCTACATGCATTGTCTGAGATAGCTTGCCTTTGTTTAGTTGGATAAGTAGTGGTAGTACCAGCTTGCTTCCGTATGAATCCTTGTGAAAAGTGGCTTGTAGTTACTGGAATAACTTTTATTATGCATCATCCTTTGGAGAGAAGTCATATATATTGTTTATATTCTCCACAAGGAGGAAAACAGATACCAGCTTCTTACCCAAATAACAGTTTGATACCTCAGTGTAGTTTAGAACTTCCTGTTTATTTTGGACTTCCTCTCTGAACACCATGTTCAGAAGTGTTAACAACTATCTATTTCACAGGAGTGACTATGAGGAAATGCCACTTCAGAACGGCCAAGCTATTAGAGCCAAGTATAAAGAGGAATCGGACAGTGATTGATTTTGATGTAGACAAACTTGTTCAGCTGGAATTAAACCAATTTTGAGTTTTCCTAGATGGAAAACTTCCTTGGCTTCCTTACAGTCTGCTGTCATCGGAACACTGACTCCCAGGAAGGACAACCTGCTTCTATTTCTGTTTACGAAGTTAAAACTGAAAAAAGGAATGCTTGAAAAGGTTGTGGTGAAAACTTAAGAAACCAAAATTTTTACATGTCTTATAAAATGTCTGATAGCAGGATTGTCTGTGGACTAAAATCTTTGTCTATTTCCATTTAGAAGTGTCACTGATTATGTGCTGATTTTAAATTTGCTTCCTTGATGTTTGTTTTTTTGGGTTGGGGTTTTTTTTGAGGATTATGTAGAGCATACTGTCATTCATCTGTTGCATTTGTGTTAGCTCTTTTGTATATTGTCCAGTGCTGTACAAAATGTCTCATTTCCCTCTCAATTTTCTACCTTAGTCTTTTGAGCTGGAGGCAGGGAATGAAGTGTTTTAGAGGTTGGTTTTCTTTTTTTTTTATAATGCAAGAAAACACAAGCTTTCAATTCTTCCTTCGAAGAAGCAATATAGATGCAAGACCATTTTTAAAATTCATTTAAATGAGTTTACCAGATTTGTAAGTGCAAGATACGTGCAAGTAGTCACGTTCTAGTGAGCCAAAAGAGCCTCCCTCAGTGGTGCAAAATTATTTGTATAATACATGTTTTATAACATGCTTTACTGCCACTTGTTTTGTTTTTTTTAATCATCCCTTTCAAATGGAAATATTTATGCAGCAACAAATCTCAGAAGGAAGCCTCAGAAGTGTTTTTTGTATGCTGGAGGAGATTGTTAAGACTTACAGAGAAGTAATTACAAGTATTACAAGTAATTACAAATACAGAGAAGTATTACAGAGAATACACTACAGAAGTTTCACAGAGAATTACAATTTCAGATTTCCAAACATTTCATTTTTAGAGGCTTTTTCTATATCAGAATTTTTCCTTAATTTGTATTAATAATCTACATCCTAGGAACAACCATGGGTGCTCATGTATTGAATGTGCATGAGAGCTTTCGAGCATGTTCTGTGCATAGTTCAACTTTTGTCATACCACAGTCACCACCTCTACTGATCAGAACTTTTACTAGCACATTTGTGATTATCTGTATTCCAGCTTGTGCTGGAAGAAAGTTACATGGGAATTAATATTACTAGTACAATGCTGCTGCTTCTCTAAAAAGTGGTTTTCTCCTACACCATTGTTCAGTTCTTTATTTTAAAGTGGATACTGTTTGTTTCTAACTACTTTTCTTTTCAGGTACTTGACCTGTCTGAAAGTATCTTTTTTTTTTTTTTTCATGGATTTGTAACTGTGATTTGTAAAATTTCTCTGCCCTGCTGCTGTAGAAATACTGTTAACGTATTTGACAGAAAATGGTGCTGGCTGACACTAGGGAATCGTGCTCATCATTGAAGTCATTCAAGCAGAAGAGTGCAATTAAGTCCTACTAGACTTGCTGAATCATATTGGGGAAAAAGTGGATTTGCTCTGCTTTGATGCAACAACTATTCTAGGCCATTCCCATTGCAATAACCGCCTGGTAGCTGTTCAGGATTGTGCAGGGGAGACTTCACAGGATAGCAGTTTGCTTAGAGACGACCAAAGGAACTGCTTCATGTGGTTGCATCCTTCTTATAATAGAACAGTTCAGATTAAATGAATGCTCTGCTAAAGACGTGTGGTAAGATAGATAGTATGTGTATGAGAGGGGAAGTTTTCTAAAATTATGTAGAGCTGTGAAATTCTTTGAGGGTATCTGACATTTAAAACTTTCTGTACCAGGGATCATTTATTTGTTAGAAGCCAAAGCACTGTTACATGGCTAAAGCAAGGAAACTTCTGGGGAGCAAGGGAAGTTTTTTCCCTTTAATTTCTTAATTAATTGGTGTCAGTTTAGAACATACAGGAAAACATTACAGAAATACTTCAAGTTAGTGGTGTGGGGTTTTTTCCATTGAATTGTAGTAAGCTGTACCTTCAGCACTTCCTTTTAGATTTTTTTTTTTTTTAACAAGTATGCAAAATGATCTTTATATCCTAAAAGTGGAGAGCCCGTTCTCATTTTTACTGTTCCCCAGATGATACTCTTGAGGCTTACAGCTGTTTGAATTTGCAGAGACAGACTTGGGAGCCAACTAGGCATCCTTTGCACACCCCCAAATCCTTTTGACTTCCATTGCAGTAACAGTGAGTACAAAAATTTGGTTTTCAAAAATTGATATTTATATGATTCTTATATAGTCAGATCTTTTTGGTTTTGATATTGTTTAAGTCTGTTCTAAATTGTTCTGATTTGACCAACTTGCAAAGTACACTGATGTTTCTTATCACAGTTGCACTGGTTGTTACAGTTAAACCTGACATACAGGGTCATGCTTGGGCATTTCATTAACAAAAGAAAATAATTTTAATCTAACTTTGAGATAATTTTTTTTCTAAGCTGTTCTCAGCCCATTTCACTTGCTGTTTTGTTTGCATTAACTTTTCTACATCACTGCATTCAAAGTGGAAATAGGAAAGTTGAGAATGGGAAATGTGTAGTTAAAGTATCTCACTACAAAAATAATGAGAAAATAGTTTCCTTGTTAATTTTGAGAGATTATATTTAAGCAATGTTTGCCTTGCAAAATATCTTTGTATTTCCAGTGCTAGAGTATAATGGTAAGCTTGGTTGAAGCACTGTCACATCAAATTCAATATACAGTAAAAAAGCAAAAGCAGTGAAGCAGATAAGGAAATAGTTTTGCTAGTAAGAAATCTCAATTTCACTCTTATTTCCACAGTTGGAAAGCAGAGACAGTATTTGGGGAATATTATAATATGGATTGTAAACAACTTGGGAGCAGGTGGCATAAATTCACCTCTGAGTAAACTATTGTAACCTAAGGGTGAAACAGAAGATATCTGGGTAAGAAACTAGCCTGGCTTTCCTTTCATTACTGTTAAAGTAATTATTTCCATCACTAGTGGAACTATAGGAAATGAGAAAAGTATACAAAAGAGCCCTACAGCATGTGGTGTTCCTGCTTTGAAGGAGATGCTGTGTGTTAACTACAAGACTTCCATGTATGCAATGAGCAAGAGGGACTTTTAAGAACTCAGTAACCATTGAGTCTGAGCCATTCATGGCAACCATTTTCTGCAGTGTTTGCTTTAAAAATACAGTTGGTGTTGGAATTGGTTGGAAACTTTCCTAGGACTAGTAAGGAAGAGGAAACATGAGGCTTAACACCAGTAAGGAACAGCTAGTACAACAGACCCGTGGCACTAATACTGGTGAAAATGGGAGGATGGTTCCTGCTAGAAAAGGCTTTGATCTATTGTCTGAGCCAAAAGACAACTTTGTATCCATAGCCACCTAAGTTTCCCCCCATTTCCTTCTACTTATGCCAGTAATAACTTTTGCATTACTGTAAAACTTTTTTTAGAAGTCTGTAAATATGTAAAATGAAAATACGGAAAAATTGTGTACCAAAATGGTATAAAAATGTGTAAGATAAATGCTCTGTTTAATGAGAAGCTGTAATTAAATGCTGCTTTGAGAAAGTGTGCATGAGGATGTGTTAAATATTCTATGTATCTATAAGTTGTGTTAATGACAGCAAATTATACATTTATGTTGGGGAACTTCATGCTAATATGGAATATGAAGGAAAACCTAATACTTTTACTTCAAGCAAAAATTGGGTATTGAGTTTCTTGGAAGACATGTGCATAATCATTGTTAAATATGTTCATAATAAAGTTTTATATCTTTATATTGTATCTTGGTTTTATTTTCCTTCTAGTGAATGACTAATTGTATCCTATTTTCAGTTTACATGTATTTTTCTTATGCATATTTAAACTTGGTTAATTGCCTAAGGCTGAGATCCAGGAGGCTGCGTCAGCACCAGTTAACCAGGGATTTATTTTAGGTTGGATTGGTTGGTTGGTTTTGGGTTTTTTATTACCCTGCCTGGGCTAAAAGGTAGGAGGTTGCTAATTTTCCTAAGAACTTGACTAGCCAGTTTACAAAGGGAAACGGGCATTCTCAAACAGCTTAAGTGTGGCTTTGCAAAACCTGCTGTGGTTACCCTGGCAGTAAAACTTCCCCTAGTGAATGTCAGTGCCAGCTCCCTTTCTGCTGAACACGCCTGCTTCACCTGAGCTGCTGTCAGATGCTCTGCCAGCAGGGTTGGAAGTTCTCCTACTTACCCAGCAGTGATGCATCCTCTCAGCACAGCCAGCAGAGGCTGCCCCACCTCCAACCCACTGGCCAGGAATAAAAGTTTAGAGATGGTGAAGATGCTGATGTCATTCATCTCCTCCTTACAGCTCTGTATCTTCCTAGAGTCTGTTTATAGCTGGTAGACTCTGAAGTGCTCAGAGCATCACCCTCTGTGGGGGGCGATGCCATTCAGTATATAAACTCAAGCAGAGACTGAAACCTCATAGCATGCTGAATGAAACAGCTGTAAACATCTGCACAAATGGGTGCACAACTTACTCTTGCTTTAATATCAGAGTAGTGCTCATTTACCAGCAGCAGTTAATTCTGAAGCCATTTCCTTTAGTTAGTTAAAATAGTTAATGGTGGAAGACAGCTCATACTCATTTGCGGCAGCTACAGTAAATGATGACCTTCCCCTTTCCTCCTCCTCCCCTCCAGATCTGGGATGACAAGCCCCTGACTTCTACAGCTGTAGCCATAGGAAGAGCCATGGCAGTAAACCAGAGCCAGCAAACAGGGACTGACTCTAATTACCTTCCTGAATAGCCAGTCCCCAGTTTGTGCTAATTAATTACCTAGAGCTAGGACTCTGCAAGCTCATCACCCTGATGCTTTACTTTGGCATGAGATGAGCAATTTAAAAATCAGTAACTGTACAACATCATGACTGTAACATACAATGGCTATAGCATTTTACAGAAAAGTCCCATTTTAATTTGGGGGAGAAGGGGGACCAATACCCAAAATCCCACAACCCCTTTCTGTAGTCCCAAAACATCAGAAACATTGGTTATTGCTCACATGTAAAATGATTTAAAAAATATATCTACCTTTCTGCAGCATAACCCTGTTGCATTAAAACAGGGTTTTTTCTCCCATATAGTTTTTACACTGACAAGTGTCTCAAATTTTTTTTCTGCAGTTCAGCACACACAAACCAACAAACAGCAAAAAAAAGCCACAAATTTGCTATTATGAACAAAGGCCAAGGAATGGGTGAATGGCTTGACCAAGAAGCTAGCTGAGTATTTATAGCAGTAAATATTGACTCAAAGTGCATGAAAACTATTTCTTTTAAAAGTAAATGAATAGCTGAGTAGGTAGTACACTACCAGCACCATTCTGGCATGCTGATGGAAAGGACATAAAATAACCAACCATCCAGATCAAAAATTTCCTTAGCAATTCAGAAATTGCTCATCTCACCCTGATGACTATTCCGGGCACTTTATTCAATCTATCTTGTTTTAGTATTTTCTTCTTACAGATGTTGTATCAAATACTCAGCATTGTTTCTAGTCAAACTCAAACTAAAACTCTGCTACAGAAAGGTAAGGTACATACTCCTCAGTGTAAGGTATATACACCTAGCCCTGAGCACTCCCTAGGTCATATGCTAGAATAATGAAGTGGCTCGTCATGGACTATGCTAGCAAAAACATATGAGCCTTACAGCTGTATTAAGTCTCAAATGTACTGAGCCCAAACCTGCTAATAATGACAACTTTTGTGCCGTACTGACAGCAGAAACGGATAGAAAGGAAGAGGGTTGTAGCCTTACCTAGCACAGGGTTTTCAAGTCTGTTGGGATATACTGAGTTATCACAAAGAGCACCCCTGTGCACCCAGCAATGTGAAAAACAAATCCTCTACTGTCATTCGATTTTTCAGTATTAAGTCTTTCCAAACAGTGGAAACGTACTGCTGTATCAGCAGTCACCTCATCCTAGACAGCTTTAGCTGAGAGCCAGATTCTGAAAATACTTGACAGGGCTTCTTAAACATAAGCAAATGCAGGTCACTCAGACTGCCTCTAGCCCGGGAGTACTCTCCCATAGCTGCTTTGTAAGTAATTCTTTCAACTTCACTAGCGGTGAGCTACTGCTTACAGAAGCAGCAGTTCACAGAGGTAGTCTAAAATGCATAAGCATGCTTCCATTTCTTTAATTAGCTGACAAAGAGAACCTTATCCAAACCTACGCTGGAAACTTGTTTTACTTGTTACTCTTCTGCAACTAAAGGCAGGAGACTTACTCGCTTCATTTAGTCGTGTTGCCTTGAGGCAGTTTTTTTCCCCCTTTCAGAAAGGATCATGTTTCACCATCAGAACTCCTCACTATCAGCAGAATCAGTGTAGAAGGTAGCAAGTATGTTCAAGACCTACTAAACACATGTAATTGGCCACAGTAGTGAATGATTGACTGCTCATGTAGAGCTTGCTGAGCACTTCCAGAATGTGAAAAACTTATCTTTGTTCAATAAAGACAGTTATTTCTGTTATCATTCCAAGCTCTGAATACCACACAATCAGAATAAACAGATCCCAAAAATGCAGCCAAGTTACTTTCCGATAATCATCTAATTTTGTAGCAACTCTGGCAAAATTATAAAAGTGCTTTGTATTCAGCTACCTTGAAGAGAATTAAAAGGATTGGAACTTCTTTTTTTAACAACAAAAAGAGATGTTTAAATGAGTCACACCAATGGTTATGAATTCAAATAATTTAATGCTAACCAAGAGTACAAAGTGTGAAAGTCAGTGTCTCATTTATATTGGTCTTAAAAAAGAAATGTAGAGAAAGTGTTTACACTGCAGCAGATTTCAGTATTAGCACCTTGAAGAGAAGTTCTTGAAGTGTTAAGACAGTATGGCAACACTGGTACAATACTAAGTACAAACATAAACCATATAACAGCATGTTTTCACATTTCTAAGTTTGAGAAAAAAAGTGACTTAAAAAGTACATTAAAACCAGAAGTTCTTCAGTGTATTCACAGTTTGAGTAGAGATGGAATCAAGTGCTGGAGTAGAAAAGAGAAGGATGATTTCAAGGCAATTATATTGCAAGTCCAAAGGCACTGACAATACAATACATAGTCTTATTCTCCCATCTCACAGTGCAGGTTCCTATAATTACAAAAAAGAGTTTCAGAGACAGAGAAAAATTACAGTGATTAAATGCATGCCCTTATATGCATGTTTGTAACTGTTTACATGAAGAATCTTAAGAATGAAGCTTTCACAACAGCTAAGCATTTCATATATAGCAGAGATACCATCAGAGCCAAATGGAAAAAATACCATACTGCATGCTATCACTCCAAAACTTTAGCACCTGGAAGAAAAAAGTATACTGCCTAGTCTTAGCATTAAAGTTGCAAGCTGAAAAATCCAACAGCTGTGTTCCTTACCATCGCTGGAGTTGTCCCAGAAGCAAGAGCTTGCTGTATGTAGCCCAGCACCATTCTTTTGCATAATCACACAGGTCACTGTTAGTCAGTAGAGAAGCTTTTATTAATTTATCACTAACGTTAATTACCATTTAGCTACATTTTTGCTTAGCACAGTACATACATACACACATATGCATATATACATGCTTACAAGTAGTTTACAGACATGGCTCTTGCCAAGATCTTCCCCCACCCCCTACCCATCAGTGCACTTGACTGTACCAACTTTAACAGAAAAGAGAAAGTTGAGCTCACCAATATACTTGAAAGGCTTCCCCAGCTTTGTGAGTTGGCTCAGCGTTTGTTCCACCACACTTGTTGTCCACTGGTTCACTTTGCTGTGCTGGTAGGCATTGCCACCTATCGCACTTTCTATGGCCTATTGGTGACAAACACATGAAGGAAGCTGCACCATTACCAGTCTACAGGCACCCGTTAAGCCATTCCAACATGGAACACTAAAGATGACACCCCATACCTACAGAAAAAAATCCTAAATACTGCTTGTCCATACCAATTGGTGGAAGTGATTTCAATTATTAAAAAAACCCTGCAGGTCAGAGTTTGAGTCAGGCATAGGGGAAATTATTATAGGTTCCATCTTCTCTTTGTGGTATTTTGATTATTTGTAATTCCTATCCCAATGTTCCCAAGCCAGAGTTATGAAAAGGGTCTTGCATTTAAACAGTCCTGAAGAGACTGAAAAAATGCAGACAACAATGGCTTATTCACACATATTCTTCTATGGAAATTAACTTCACATTTTTCAGCGGAATCGTTTTTGGGAAACAAAACCCCAAATCAGAACAAAAGACCCATAGTTGCTGGTTACTAATAGAGCAGAACCTTTCAGCCAAATAATTCATTTTACTTATGAGGGTTGTTTGCCCTTTAAGATACAAATAAAAGCACATTAAAGCCACATGTTTTTCATTGATACATTTTTTTCTCCCATAAATTGTTTAAAAAATAACCACAAAATTATTTCAGATTCAGAAGAGATATGAGCATGTATTAAAGCATGTGTATTCAATTTACAGAGTCTGACCAAAGTTGTTTTGCAACAAGAAAAAGATTGCACTAGTGTGCTCTACGAAAGGAATTCTGGATGAAAAAAAACCCAAAAAAACAACAACCAACCAAAAAAACATCTCCTCTGGAAATTTTCTTGACAGGAAATTCATGTTTCTTAGCAACAATAATAGCTCAATCATTTCAAACAAACAAGAACTCCTTTTGGAGGAAAAGCATCACAAAAGAACAGTGATATGCATATGCAGACAGTCCATAAAAAACCCACCTGTATGTTACCAAAACATAAAATCTATCTCTATAGGGTTTAACATAAAACATCACCCCAGAAATTCGTATAGGGATACACTGCAACCAGAGGGGCATATGAAGTTATTTTAATTATCTCTCAGATTTGTAATACCTATCACAACTAAAGCTAGGTATCATTTTGACTTGAAGTATATACATTGGTTAAATCAACAATTATCTACACTTTGATAGCAACCTATTTAGAAATCTCTTACATATCAGTTATCAGATTTTCCTGAAAACCTTTCAGCACACAGCCTACTACACTTTCACACCACCAAAATGAAAATGTTGTTTACCTCTTTAATGATGCCACTGACTTCATCAACAACAAAGGAAGTCTACAAGAAAGTAGAATTTTAAACAATCAGTGAACACATTCTTCTGCTTACAGAGTTCCAGCTTTGTTAATAACATGTACTAGAAGCTTAATTTATGCCTGTCAGATTTCTTGCAAGTCAGAAGATACGGAGTCTTACTTTATATGCTCATATGTCCTCTGGCTCCCTGAATGCAGTCAAGTTAACATTCTTAGCAAAGTCATGGAAAGTAACGGAAAGTAACAGATGAACTAATACTGGCTGGCCTTGTGAGTCAAAGTTTTCAAATTTTAAATTGAAAGTATTTTAAAACAATATATATAGCACTTCTCTACACATATTCTCATTCTACAGTAAGCATTAATGTCTACAGTTCACAGTGGGCTTGCAGAGATAACCTGAGTGTGCAGACACAGCTTAAAGTTAAATGAAACTGACATCTCCAGGGCACTGATGCGGACAAAACATCAATTCACAACTCAAGGAAAAGCCTTCATGACAATCTCAGCAGGGGATAAGAAGAAAACTAGCCCTTGGAAATCAAACTGGAAATCAAGCTTGCTGGACTACCCACCACCTTCAGCCTTCTCGTAGGCTCTAGGAAGTAGAGATTAAGGATGTGGAATCGGGACAAAGATGACCCTAACATTTTAGTAATCTTGAAACTACTACCTATTTACTTGTATGGTTGGTATGCTTTCCTGTTTTAGTCCCTCAGGTATCACTGCCACCCACGTAAGGTGGTTAAACCAAGTCACCACCACTGCGAGGGGCAGCCCAACAACCCCCACAGCCGTTCAAATGGCCAGGGAGCTCTAACAGGCAGGATCCCTCATGGCCACGGACTCGGTTTTTACTACTGGGAACTCACAGCCTCACCTCACAAACCAGAGAAAGGAATCAGACAAAAGAAATGCTCATAACAGCAAGCTAATTAATTTCAGAAGACCGAATAAGGATTTCAAAATTAACCTAATCAAGCATATGTTGACTGAGTTTTCACTGGGAGGTCTGTCAGCTACTCCAGCTGACAAACACGTTACAGTGTAATTCAGGTGTGAAGACAGGATGCAGTTACACCTGATCAGAATTTCAACATTATAGTCATAAACCTTTGGTCAGAAGTTGAAGAGTCTAGCAGGCTTCAATGACAAGTGACATTCATAAAGCTATGAGCAGCTGAGGGATCTCAGTGACAGAAGCAACAGCACGCCCCAAGAGACAAGCAGGCAAAGCCTTTCCTAGAACTATTTGGAGGCACCAACTTGCTCGCACAGTTCAACATTTTTAAAAGCTTTTATGTGCTGTGGCAAACTGGTTTTTATTTTCAGCTTCTTGACTTTGATTTAATTTTAATATGCCTCATTTGTTTTCATGATACTAAATCTTACAGGTGCTTACATTTTAAGGTGCACCAGTTTATTTAACCAAATAAGAGCTACAATTATCGAAATACTCTTTCCCATAGAGTGTAGGTTAAGAATTTGCATGCCAGACATGCTGGCAGACAAGATGATAAACCGTATAGTTTTTTTCTTCACAAAGTCTCGAACTCTGCTCAGAAATGCCTCCGAATGAGTGCAAACGCAGTTCACCAAAGTAAACTGAATTAAATTCAGCCCAAGTCCTCAAACGTATTTAGGTATGTGATTTGTACTGAAACAAGTGGGAAAGAGCCAAAGATTTGAGAATTTGGTTTTAGAGTTGCTGTTACTTGTTGACCTCCTTCCTTTCTGGGATGAGGGTGTATATGGGTTTAGATGCATGACAAAACAGAACACAAAGTTCTGATTATTCAAGCTTTGTGATTTATGTGCCAAAACTGAGCTGTCAAATAACACAACACTACTAGTCCATCTTTTAATAAGATTATAAAAACACTTTGTGTATTAAAAATAAAAGGAAAAAAATTTCAGAAGCTTTATGATTTCCCTGCGCTACCCCTCTGGCTCAAGGAAAGTAGATGTGATGTTTCTGATACCTTGTTTAAAAGGGGTGCTTCCAGGCAACAAATGCAAACTGCAAACCAGTATTATTTTTTAGTAATTCTGAAGACATTTTTGAAAACAGTTATAAGAATGTTCGAGTATGTTAATTATATACATTTTTTTAAAAATATCTGTAACTGTATAACATGGGCCAGGCCCAATAACGAGGACAAGGCTTTTATAATAGCACAAGCCTGACACACCTTCACTCCTAACACTGCTTTGCTATTGTCTAACCAAGTGACAATGCAGCTGTTTAAGAACAATACAGCAATTTGTCACAGCTCAGAAAAACTGTCTCTCTGCAAGAGCAACACTTGCTGGGCTGTCATTTAGCATGATAAAGAAAAAGACCCTTGATTTATCCGACTTTGCATCTTCATTAATGGGGGATAGTGTCTCAGCGTGCCTGTAACATGGAGACTACCTACCTGAACTCGTCTTTCCCCACAAAAATAGCTTATTCGAGTCTTCCACCGATCTAAACAGTACCAGTAAACCTTCTACCACAGCACCAGGCTTCATCGATCCGGTGAAGCCAGAAGCCACGATACCCCTCGCGAGCATTTTCTCCAAGTGATCTGCAGCGGCAGCTTTCGGGAGAGAAGCGGGCATGGGTCGACGCCAGAGAAGAGGCGCCCAGCGAACACCCGAAATGCAGACGAGGGGCTGGCCCACCGACTCAATCAGTAACCGCATCTGCGCACACCTCCAAAGGGCCGGTGAGCTCCCGAGACAGCTCCGGCCCGCCCGGGGGTGAGGTGGGGGTGTGTGGGCAGCAGCCCCGCGCAGCCGGGCGGCAGAAACAAAGGCTGGGCCTGTTTCTTGCCGTTGCCCGGGACGCGCAGCTCGGAGACAGCCGCCAACGCCCGGC